AGTGAAGTCAAACTCCCATGTCAGGGTGACGTTCGTGCTGTTTTGTCCGATAACAACGACCAGTGGGTTTGGTGGTTTCTTGGTGAATCTTATGGTGTTGTTCTTACTTCCATCTGGTACAGATGGCGTAGTGGTAGTTGGTACAACTGTAGTATATCCAGGTGTTGGAGTGGTAGCACTGACCGTTGCAGTTATTGCAATCCCTGTACAAAAAAGAAAAAAGAAAAAGATTCAAAATTCCATTTTGATCTGTAATTCAATTGTGCCCTGATGTAGTTCCGCCCAGTTTTGTTTCAGATCTTGGTAAAATTCAGGGGATTCCTTTTATTGCCAACCTAAATTTTAGATTTTATTTATGAATAAAAACTCATGAAAATTCCTGCAAGTAATGATACATAACGAATAAAATAACATTACAAATTCTTGCACTGAAGCATTTCGGTCTTTTTTTCGTGCCAAAAGCTCTTTTCAAGTTCAATTAAGTATTTATGCAGATGATAAAGTTTGTGCATGCGTGCATTTGAGCACAGTTTCCAAGAATTTAGTGATTTGGTAGGAAAAAAATATAGTTTTTTATTACAATACGTCTACTATACAAAAAATCTAGGTGCCTTACTCTGGCGTGACCAAGATTAGCAAAAACAATTCCTAACTGAATCCATTCATGGAAGTTGACATTTTCAACAAATTTACATACAGACTACGACCATGTAGTAGACGTGTCGACGATATGGTTGATTTTCAAAATATTTGCGCCGAGAAAGTTGAAATGTTAGATGAAATGATAATTCCATTTCAATGTAAAATAAAAAAAGACATTTATATAGAACAGCTGTTTTAAAAATTTAGAATCAACAACTCCTTTCACCACACCTATGGTAAACAATATAGAAGGAAACAACGTATAAGCGCCCTTCCCAAACAAAGACTGAAAAACACTTTTTCCGAAATAATTAATTATCTTTTTCCTCTCGAAATCAAAAATTCATCTCGTTAATTTCGAGGTGTTGAGAAAAACCAGTGGGAATTATTTATGTTTCCGTCGAATTATCAAAAAAATATCTCACTATGCTGAGTATTTATTTCATGATACGAGATTCTAAACCTAAAACAATCTTTAAAATAATCTTTTCCGTCTTAAAAATCAAGATTCTTTACGGAAACTATCGACCTTTCAATCTTTTTCTTGCAATCACGTCACTTCCGGTCATTATGTATGCATATTTCCAGCTGACGGTCAAGCATTCAGCTGGCGTACAAAGCAATGTATGTGTTTACAAGTTCTCAAAAGTAAATTTTCGTAAAATATGCCCGATTCCTGTTCAGTTTATGGTTGTTCAAACCGATCTAATAAGAAAGAAGAAAAGGGTTYGTTAGAATACCTAAAGAAGTGGTTCACAAGGGAGATCGGACAAGAAATTTATCAACAAGACGTCGCCACCGATGGCTGGCTATCCCCGTGGCTATCCTGACTTAACAGTACTGTATCTTCGAAAGGAGTTGAATCTTCACACGCTCGTGTATGTAGCGATCACTTCGTAAAAGGTATTTAACAATTCTATATTTGTTTGAGTTTGAAATTCAGATGTCATTTCTTTGCTTTGCACGTGTTGGTTTGTTGTAAACACTGAAAATRCGAYGATGCTTGTAGAGTGTTTGTAGGTTCGTCGCGTCGCATCGAAGTCTGTTTACTAAACAAATTCTATACATGTATATCTTATCTAGGTTGTCCAAGCAATATAAAAGACGAAGACGACATAGATTGACCCTAGCGAGCCGCCATCTTTGTTTACTTGACCGTCACTTGGAAACCGGAAGCAAAATTTCAGTCAAATTGTCACGAGATTGCAAGCAAAGAAATCAAGATACTTTACGGAAACTATCGACCTTTCAATCTTTTCCATATTAAATATCAAGATACTTTACGGTAACTATCGACCTTTTCAATCTTTTCCGTCTTAAAAATCAAGATACTTTACGGAAACTATCGACCTTTCAATCTTTTCCGTCTTAAAAATCAAGATACTTTACGGAAANTAGTTGATGCAACTGTAGTATATCCAGGTGTTGGAGTGGTAGCACCGACCGTTGTCGTAGCCTCTGTAATCCCTGTGAGAAAATAAAAAATGATTCAAACTTCCATTTCGATTTTTAAGTCAATCGTACCTTGATCTAGATCCACCCAGTTGTTGTTTCAGATCTTGGTAAAATTCGAGGTATTCCTTTTATTGCCAGTCTAAATTTTAGTTTTTTTGTAAATGAAAATTCTTGCAAGTAATAATGCAATACAAATTCATTTTGCACGGAAGCATTTCCGTCTTTTTTTTTTTGATGCCAAAAGCTCTTTTCAAGTTAATTTCCAAGGACACGAGCTAAATTGTACGCATGCGTGTACGTTATTTAAAAAAATTGATATCTTGTACCCAGAGCCATTATTTCTTACTGCGCATGCTCGACGAAATAAATAGGCTATCGATCTCGTACCTAGAGTCTGCGTTTCTTCTGGCCTGCGGCGAAGAACGAGGGGCTCTGGCATAATCCATCTTTTAAGACCAGGATTTATTAATTAAAATTAAAATTACAATCCTAGAAATCTTCTTTTACTGCTCAATTATATTACTCCTAAATCCCGGAATTACATACTCGGCTGCTAAGCCAATCTRTGAACACATCACTCAAATCCATATACGGGTACTCTTGCGAAAGAATGCAACATTCCTGAGGAGACTACAAAAAAAGGCATTTTACGACTGGGCTGCCACATGTAAATTCGCTTACGACTTCAAGATTATTATCATTTAAGTGAAAGAGGGCTGATTAATTTTTTTACACGTTTTCTTAGTAAAAATCATGATTTTCGATTTTTTTCATTTACTTTCATTTGCCATTTAGTACAAAATTCCGAAACCATGTTGATGCAATTTTGTAGACCTTCTTTTGATTTTGATAATGAAACTAAATCATCTGCGTATAAGAGAGAAGTTAGTTTGGTACGATTTGGTAGAATTATAGGATCTGATCTTGCAGTTTTATTAAGTTGAATAGATAATTTATTCAAATAAAGATTAAATAGCAAAGGACTTACAATGCACCCTTATTAATGACCAAAGTATTTATAGACATTCACACTTATGAAACGAGATCCTCTTATAATAACAATCTTTTCTCCAGATCATCGATATTAAACATTCAGAAAGATTCTTTCTCCAGAATGGTTGTAAGATTATGGAATCAAATCCCAGATCATATAAGGAAATTATCGAAAAATAGCTTTAAAAAAGAAATTAGGTCATTACTGTTTAAGAGTCTAGATTTAAATGGTTATTTTGTTGAAATTCCAATGATGTTTAATTCATAATTCTTGATACGACTTCTACTTCCGTTTGTGTTTATGTTTCACACTTCATTTTCGTTATCCAATTGTCGTTTATATATTCTAAACTATAAATGTGTATCGATATTCATTATAAATAACACTTAATCATATCTATTAATTGTAAATATTATTTTCCTTTTTTGGTTTTTATTTGCACCATAATATTGTAATTATTGTAAATATTGATGTTTGTCTTTCCTTTTAACCTGTCTAGAATAGCTTTAAGCTACTTGCAGGTAAAAGTGTAAGTATTATGTATGTGTCAGTTCCAAAGGCTCCCACT